TAATGGAAAATGAAGTTGTTGAATTTAGTTTAGTTGATGTTACTAAAACGATGTTACTGGGATTCAATTTATTAATTAGTGTTACTATAATCATGTTAATAAGATCATATTTATGTGTGTTTCAACAACTTTCGTGTTGTTGTTCATGTTACATTTATACATATTTTTTGCTAATTGTTATATATCCATTAAGTTAGGTGATTTTGTATCATGTTATTATATATTATTCAGATATTGATAATTCAATATAATGTTACAGGGTGATGGTAATCAAAGGTAAATTTGATACTCCAAAAACATTTTCATTTCACCAATTTAGGTCTNTACATTTATACATATTTTTTGCTAATTGTTATATATCCATTAAGTTAGGTGATTTTGTATCATGTTATTATATATTATTCAGATATTGATAATTCAATATGATGTTACAGGGTGATGGTAATCAAAGGTAAATTTGATACTCCAAAAACATTTTCATTTCACCAATTTAGGTATAACTTGTTGCCAATGGTGAAGGTTATTAGTGTTACTTAGAACCTAATTTCAAAAAAAAAAAAAAAGAACTCCAGTGAAGAACGTCATGATACAAATATTGGAAAGTGACATTGAATTTTGGCAATAACAAAGGAAAAAATGAAAATAAACAATTCTAATTCCAATAAAAGCACGAACAGTAACATGAAAAATAAACTTAGAACCTAATTTCAAAATAAAAAATAACTCCGGTGGAAAAACGTTTCAATACGAAATTTCGGTAAGTAACATAGAATTTCCAGTGAATGACTATCAATTTATGNAGTAACATGAAAAATAAACTTAGAACCTAATTTCAAAATAAAAAATAACTCCGGTGAAAAAACGTTTCAATACGAAATTTCGGTAAGTAACATAGAATTTCCAGTGAATGACTATCAATTTATGCTAAAATGTTCAAAGCAGCATTGTTATTCATATTATGTAAATTAGCAAATTACAATGAAAATACTTCAACAGATTATAATGTTTCAGCATGAACTAAATGTCAAGATCTAGCAAGTTGAAGTAGAATCACATAAAAAATCAAAACTCTAGATGCTAATTGTATCACCTTCGGGCCTCCCTATCGAACTCAAAAGTCTGCTACTCAAATGTTATAATAGACAAACTAATTATGTTTGATTCAGAATTTGAATTTGAATTTGAATTTTTAATAGAATCTTCTGATCTGAAATTGAATTAATAGACCAATGATTTTATCGTAATTCAAGCATAGTATTATGATATATACGGTTTCGATAAAAAATTGATTAATTTGTTACCACATATATCTCAAACGTCTAACCTATGGCTTTCCATAATTGACAAAAGTTAACACCGTTAAGGGTATTTTTGAAATANTTGACAAAAGTTAACACCGTTAAGGGTATTTTTAAAATAAAAAAAAAATGGATTTAAATCAGTATATATAATTTTAAACATGGGCTTAACCCCTTATAAGTTTTCTTGTCGGACTTATCTCCAAATAAGTACATCTAGAGAGACTCACCCCCCAATTTTCACTTTTTTAATCTATTACATTAATAAGTTAATTTTTAAATTTTTTTTGTTTATTAAATAATATTTGGAATTACTAATACAATTTTAAAATTAATCATTTTTTAAAATCTTAATAATTATCTATCAAATTATACCATATTAATTTTATTTTTATTTATTATATATCTAATTACATAAATTCTTACTCTACCACCCATCACCATCTAAACCCACCAAAACTTCCAAACTCAACTAGACCCACCAATAAAAAGAGAGAGAGAGAGAGACTAAAACCACACCTGCCTCCACCACCACTAAAACCACCACTTGGACCAAACTCATTATCAACAAACACCACTACATTGCAGAAGTTAAGGTTTCAACCACCACTTGCAACCAACACTTACAAAATTCACCCATTACCATTGTTCCACCACCTAAGGTATCAATCACAAAGAGATAGAAGAAAGAGAGATGAAGATCACAAACACTAGATAAAAATCGTTTATTGCGTCGTTGGGGTGCTGGTGAAAATAGGCAGCAGTGGTTGCGCCACTGGGTGTTGGCGCCTATTGTTAGAGGGTTCTAATACATCGAGAAAGAGAGAGAGAGAGTGTGGGGGGGGCGGTTGGGGGAGAGGGTCTTGGTCTTAGGTCTTGAATCTTGGGCCTTAATGGATAGTTAAGGTGAGGATAAAATGGTCTTTCTGTTTTACGGTTAACAATGTTCATTTTGTGGGGTCTCAGTATAATTTTGAAAATGTGAGGGGGTGTCCGTGTAATAAAACCAACTGTTAGGGGATGTCAATATAAATTATCCAATATAATATAAAGAAAGATAAGTAAACCAACCTGATAAACTTAATAAAATTGAACAAAACACAATAAACCTGATTTATATATTCTCTAATAAAACATCTATATAATAAAGTAACTTATAATTCAAAAATCAAAAAATAAACAAAATAACTTTTGCTATTTGCGGTTGAGATAGTTTTAAATTTTACTTTAAAGTTAATCTAATGACTAATATTAATACCCTAAATTTAATAGGAAAAATAAGCTACTAACAGTGCGTTTGAAGTAACTTTTTAAAAATACTTTTAAAAAATTATTTTTTGTAAATATTTTTTAAAAAATAATATTTAAAACCGCTCCACCACTACCTCTACCACCACCACCACTGTCACTACTACCGACGTCGCCGTCATCACCACCACCACCCCTACCACCGTCACCATCACCACCACCGTCGTTGCCGTCGTCACCACCATCGCCACCACCGTCGTTGTCGCCCCCACTACCATCGTCGTCGCCGCCGCCACCACCACCATCGTCGTTGCCCTCGCCACAACCACCACCGCCACCACGGTCATTGTCACCCACCGCAACCATCACTATTTTCTACCATTACCTCCCACCCCTATTACAAATCGATGCTTAAATTTCTTTATGAATACAAATATGTTTATTGTTTACTATTTTATATTACTATGTGTCATCAGGCGTAGACAATAACTAGTTATAAATAAAACACAATCCCAAGTCATGTGCTTCATAAACGATGTTATTTTATGACAAACAAAACGATATCGTTTTAAATACAAACATTATTTGATAAAAAAAATAAATATACATATGGATAAAGTAAGAATGCGGATATCCTACCCTAATATTTACGAAATACTAAAAAAAAACACCTTCTATTACTTAACCAAAAAAATGCGTAAGTAAAATTATCGGATATTGAAATATTGGACGTGCAGAATTTTGAAACCCCCAAATTCCCCACGGTGAAAAAAAAAAAAAAATCATCGCACAAAAAGGTCGTCCACCACATGTATATATGGCGATTCACAAATATCACCCAATCCCCAACACAATCTTTCTCTTTCTCGAATCGCTCTGTTTCTCGGACTTTTGTTGCTCTACCATCTTTTGAACAGGTTTGATCAATTCTATACTTCCTTTTTCGGGTATTCCTTATTTCTTGATTTTGGGTTTTGATTGTTATTTTCTTTTCATTGAATCGTTTTTGAATCTATGGTGTTTGGACTTGGTAGTTAATTATTTGGTCTTTCGCCTGCTCTGTGTGTGTGTGATTTCAGTAATATGCTTATGTCTTTTCTAAATATGCAAGTTAGAAATACCTGTATCTCTATATTTTGCATAATATTTCCTTTGATAATCGAATATCAATACGTCATGTCTGATATAATTAGAAACATGGTTGAATTGATAACTTTGGGTGAAGGGTCGAATTGGGATAGTTGGTCGGTCAAATTGAATGGAATTGAATTCTAACGGTCCTAACAAATATGGAAGCTGAGTGTAATGCTCTGCTGGACATGTTTTGAATTATTTAGCACCTTGGAATAACGGAGTACAAGTTTTTTTTTTTATTATGGCTCTTTTATTCTAGTAGATATGGTCAAACAAAAGGTTAATAATCGATGGAGGTTATGGTATCCATAGGAGAGCTTATTACGTTTTTGAGCTAATTTTTGAGGGTGAAGAAGACCTCTAGGATGGCTACTCACTGATTCTCAGGATTTTTGCGCCCTATCAAATGAATTCAAGAATTATATGTGATCCTAAGTTTAAGGAGCAAGGCTGGGTGCCAGTTATGAAGAAAGGTTATCTCTTGCGGAAGTTTTTGTCAATTTTGGGTTTTTAGGACTTTCCTTTATACCTAATTAGCCATTGCAAATTTGCAATGGGACCTTCATTGGGGGAGAAAACGTCACTCCAAATATTGTTTTTTGGCTAATTTTTTTTTTCCCAACACTTTATTTGGAGTAACTTTTTTAACATGGAAACGTCAATTGGAGTAACTTTTTAACATGAAAACGTCATTTGGAATTACGTTTTTTAGAACTACATGGGTTTAGAAAATAAGTTTGAAAGTGCCTTCAAGGAAATATGTTTTGTGGGTACATGGGTATGCAAAAAGCTCATGAAGAAAGTGGGTTGTGTTGAATCTGACCTCAATATTGTGCCTGGGAGTGTTTGAAAAACAAAGATAAAAATGGTTATTTTTTGTTTTGTATCTCGTTCTATGTTTATATGAATTCATGATGTTTTTGTTTTGCTATGGAAATGTATGGGTCAAATTGAATTGGATTGAATTTCAGCAATGCTAGCCAGCATAACACAAATAAAGAGAGTAAGCTTGATTCCTGTCCTTCCATTTTTGTAAAAATAGGATTGTAGTCTATGAAGCATGTACACTCTCAAGAATGTGACGTATCCATATTGGACATGTGTCGGACACTAACACTCTCGGACACTTGTCCGATATTCTTTTATTCATGTTCATAATTAAATGATAAAATTTTAATTTTAGACACGTGTCCAACACTTCTTTGATGACGTGTCTGATAGTGTTTTACGTCATGTCTACTACAAAATAATAAACATGTGTTGACATATGATTAAAAAACCTTAAAAATTTGACTTACAAGTATTTTATACTATGAGAGAACATATAAATACCAAAACTAAACATGTTGAAATTGTAATGATGCATAAAAGTTGTAAAAAAAAAAAATTGACAAAGTGAGAGCAATCATTTAAATTATATATATTGGGTACACGTCTACAAAAAGAAATTGATGATTTAGTTGACTATTAATATTCCTTGGTCCAAACCTTCACACTAGATAATTAGACATAACATTTACCTATCATAAAGTACTGATATTTTTTATGATTAATGTATCATTATGACTATATTTGCGATAAATTATATAATTTTATATAGAAAACATAATTATTTATAGCATGTCGTCAACGTTTCCGTGTTCGTGCCCTACTTGTTTTACAAATTTCATATTTGCATGTCCGTGTTTGTGTCCCATGTTCATGTCCATGCTTCTTAAATTGTAGTTTTGTGGAAACTCACATGCTTTATCATGAAGAAAGTGGGTTGCGTTGAATCTAACTTCAGTAGTGTTTGAAAAAATTAAAATAAAATGGTTTTTTTGGATCTCATTCGATATTTAAGTGTGTGGTGTTGTGCTTTGTGTAGCACAATCCCTGCAGAGGGCTCCAAACTAGGGTAGTGGTGGTGCTGCTGGTTTTGTTGGTTGAGAAGGTTGGGTTCTAACCAGATGGAATAAGTAGGATATTCTGTTTTCACGATAACATGAAATATCAACCAGCAATTTTCTTGTTTCTTGCCTTTTGTTAAAAGCTTATCATTTTGATTTTTATTATTGGCCTCTAGATTAGGTTGCTTTCAGAAAGCAAAAACAAAGTTGGCCTTGCTCTAAATGTTCTAGTAATCAAACCTATTTATATTCATATTTTTGGATGAAGGAATTTAGAAAGAGTTAGAGCAATTGAGGCATAATAGATTGCGTTTGGCTGCAATTGAATCCAATTGGATTCAGTGTCTCTTGAAGCATGTAATATCCATTAGCTATATGAACATAATGAAATGGCATGTGTGGTGGAGCTTCAACAATTAGAGGTGGTCAATGCATTTATAGATGAGCAGACATACAGTATTTTGGAAGAGTCACACTGTGCTGTTGTTTATTGACGCGGTTAGTCAAAATATGTACAACGAAACCAAAGGTAATGAACAGAGACGGATACTAGGTTTATAATAAGGGAATGAGTTCCAATAGCCAAACTTCAGAAACAACAGTTCTAAAGATTCAAAATATCCCTTAGAAAATACAGGAGATAACAATATGCTAGTGGGCGAAATAGTGGGAGAGAATCAAAGGTCTAAAGGCTTCGGGTTTGGCATGGGAATGGAATCTTCAGAATTCTTAAGCAGATATGCAGCCCTCTAGAATAGCAAGCAGTGATGTTGTAATAATGGGCAAGGTTTGGCAACAAGGTCCAACAAGAAAGATGGAAAAATATAGGAAGAATCTCATCTGGGACGCTTTGGGCTTTCAAGCACAAGAAATCTATGCCCTTCAGTGCAGGGACGTCTGGCACAATGGGATTGTTGGCTGCCTTTACCACAGTTGCTACCTTGGGGTTCTTTACTAATTCATTTGTACATACATCCATAGTCCCAACTTGATCTCTTTTGAGATATTATTTATTGTTTTCTAGTAATAGATCACCAGTCATGAATTTAAAAGCAGACCTATAATATGCAAGTAGGTTCTCTACCAATGCATGTTAGTCATTTATTATCGAATAAAATTGAGAAGAAGTACATTGGAGTGGATCTGGATCCCTCTAATTATGAACTATGATGTGGTTTCTGTAAAAGATTGTAAACATTTAGAATAAAATTGATGGTGATATGTAGATCGAGATCTACTCGATAAGAATTTTCTTAAAGTTAAATCATCCACCATACATAAAAGCCACTTGAATATGTAATGTTCCACTTGAATTCATCATATTTATAAATAATTTAGCAAGCAGCAATTTAAGGAAAATAGCTCTGGAATCAAGCTGGATCTCTGATGCTGGGAAAGATACAGTTCGTAATGTAGAGTTCAATAAATTAGTTGGTCACTTTTTTACATAATATGTCAACATGCAGACAAGTATATTGGTTAGAAGCTTGAGAGAGCACCACTAGAATGTAAGATGAGATTGTTGGCTAGATGATTTGCCTGGGATCACATGTGTCAAGCACAAATTTTTGCACTGGGAGAGTGATTCTCCTCTCTTCTATGAAGTGGAGGCTGATAAGAGAAAGCATCGAAGAATGTGGGTAAGGGGCTAAGGTTGGGAGGAAACCTGGCAGCCTATGATCTGCCAGAAGATTGACTCTAGATAGAGTCTAAGGTTCAAAATGGGGTTGCCTGGTTGACCCCATATTGCTGGGATAATTATTTTGGAGTGGGCTGATTTGGAATTTCCTTTGGATTGTGTTATCCTCCACTGCAGTCTGATCTGCTATCCATTAATTTGGTATACTCTTTGTCATCATATGCAGGCAAATTATTTTGTACCAAAGAAGTTTCATATCGAGATCTGAATGCAGTGAGGATAATGTTGTTAGAATCACAAAATAGCTGCCGGTAATGATAATATTGTAGTCATCATAAATTGGCATCTGGGCTCCTCCCATATTTTACTTCAAGGGGTGAGAATTTGTAGATCATATCCAGATACAGTGAACTATGTTCCATTATAGTATAGCGATTTAATTATTTGTATCCTTATTACCTTTCGTTGTTTATGGAATCTTGTTGTGTGCACTTTCACTCATTGTATACTACCAGCAAAAATGTTTCTGAACGCATCCCAAATACCTTTTGTTTCAGCTCTGATCATTTTGATTGGAATTGAAGGAATCTCCATTTGTGACTCCTATCAAGGTTCATGTCTGATCTCAACAACCAGATTCCAACTGCTTTTGGTATGTTATCGTTTTCTTTGGGGCTTACCAGATTCACTGGTTTGATGAAACATTAGACGGCACAGAGAACGCTAATTGGCTTTCTTGCGGGTGGTGGTTTTATGGTGAAACAGATCCTTTTGCTGAGGCAAATGCTGAGGACTCAGGTGCTGGGGCAAAAGAGTACGTCCATGTGCGTACACAGCAGCGCAATGGGAGGAAGAGCCTGACAACTGTGCAAGGGTTGAAGAAGGAATTCAGCTATAACAAGATACTTAAGGACCTCAAGAAAGAGTTCTGCTGTAATGGTACTGTTGTGCAGGATCCTGAGTTAGGCCAGGTTAGTCCTACTTCCTTTTCAAGATACTACAGAATGCATCTGTGTGCTTTGCTTTTTCTTTTGTGAATGGATAGGCATGTTAATTCACGAATAATCTCAGCCAGCTCATGCAGTTCTGTGCTTTTGAACAAGAAAACCATGCTTTGATGAAGACAATTTTTTATTATGACATTTGGAGATTGGATTTTAGCTTATTCCCCCCTAGAAGGAATTCAAGGAAATGCTTTTTTTTGCACTATAATTAGTGCATTCTTTATAGTGGTCACATGATCTGCAGAAAAAGCAATAAAAAGCCTCAATGCTATTGTTGCATAATGCAGGTCATTCAACTTCAGGGTGATCAGCGGAAGAATGTATCGACCTTCCTCGTGCAGGTAGAAATACTATCTTTCAGACGAAGTGCACATTTGCATTGTTGTCGCTAAGTATTTGTTTTTTTATGTGACTTGCATCTTTTCTGATTGGCAGGCTGGCATTGTGAAGAAGGAGCAGATCAAGATTCATGGTTTCTAAACTTGCAGGCAACCAATTTCATTTTGTAGTTTCACTTCAACTTTCGTTTATCAGCTGCAATATTCTCCATACTTTGGAACTTAACTACAGATTTCCCTGCTATATATATGTGCTGAATCGTCTTAATACATTGATTTATATTTATGTTTGAAGTCATTCTCCTTTCCGTGATGTGAAAGGATCATGGTTTGTAACAAAACCTCGTTTTTATGCAGAATCAAATTGTTCTATTTGGACGGAAAATACTCCATGTTTTCACCATCCACGCTTCATGCTTTTGTAATGGGCATCATATGTGAACTATGATGGATTGTTTGTTATCTTTTTTATCAGATTTGGGATAATGAATTTATTGTATGGTTTAACCTTGTTTGGTTATTTGGAGTTCTGGACATTGCAAATTGTCAACTCCAACTCACTTTAAAGCTGTTGAAATTTGATTTGGTATCTGTGTAGTTGCTCCTTTGTGTGAGTAACCAAAGAGTTGTATTGGAGTATGCCTGAATTATGCTTGAAATGATCTTCTAGTTGACTATACTGATTATTATTATGGACAAGTGTAGAAGTTGCATGTACCTGAGGTTCAGGTTGTTGCCTTTCTAGCTGATTGTGTTCCAGATGTACTCATTGTCCGGACTCGTGGGATGTACATAATTTATAACCCGTCATCTTCTTTCTTATTTTTCCATCCTCTTTTCTCTCTCTCTCTCACTATCAAATACTTGAGAAATTCGAGATTTATAAAAAGTTTTGGATGATATTGAAGCTGATTTTAATTAAGGAATATTTTTCATTTATCATTTAATAATTTAAAATTACAAGAAATTAGAAAATAGGAATGAGTAGGTTTGTCAAGTCCTCTATATATAGTAGTGGATTCACTGTGTTACTACGCGGTTTAGTTCCCTCTCATGATTAGTTTTCTCAGGTTGCTTGTCTTTGATGCTTGGGGTTATCCTTCAGAGCCTTTAGGGGCCTGTTTGTTTACCGGGTTTTGGACGGTTTTGGAAGTTGAATTTTAAGAAAAATAGTTTGATAGACCATTTAATTTCATATTTTGTAAGGACTTTTAAATTCGAGATTCATATTCCGGTTTGTAATGAATAATACATTAAAAGCCAAGTATGGGGTTTGATGAATCCCATGGGAGGTTTTAAAAGTGAAAGATTGTATTTGAAAATAAAAAAATTATTTTACCCAAAATAATTGACATTTTAGTAAATTGAGTATTATGATTTGACATGAATCCAAGGATTTGACATATATTTATGTCATTTATCAAACATGGGATTGGATTAAGTTTACGATTGAATTTCATGTTAAAATCCCTTGAGTTGGATTTAAAAAGGGTTTCCTTCTAACAATTCAAACCTCTCCCATGTGGATCATCTAAACATGCATTCGGGGTTTTCCCTCGTATCCATACATCATTAGAATCTATTCTTAAAACACAGTTGTTTTGGAACTTTAATATTAAAATATGGCACTTTTGAACTTATTTACCAAATTATATTACATATGCATTATATAACTAAGTAGAGGCAGAGTAAACACGGTGTCCGTGTGCAGATAGAAAGAAGGAAAAAGACATGAGTTCGAAAGGGATTGAAATAGATCAATCTAAATGGTTGTGGATGTTATGGTTGGTTAAACAATAGTTTTAAGTGTAGTTGATACTGTAATTTTCATAAGTAGACCCCAAACCTCAACGTACATGGCGAATTGTACTTTGAATCTTAAAAGATTAAAAAATTCTCATTTTACATCTTTAAATATTAAAATTTTTTCCTTAATGTATTAATTTTTTTATAATGTGACTTTTTCGTTAGTTTTTATTATTCATTCTGTACTGAAGTGGTTTTTCGCAGAATAAAAAATGAAAACTAATGAAGGGTTACAGTATAATACTTTTAAAAAAATTATAAATTTTTTGAAGTACAAAATGAGATTTTTCATTTATTAATATTTAATAGTATAGTTCTATTTGCTTACTCTACTTAAAAAAACACCCAACAAAAAAGATAGGGAATTAACTGACTGCCCCATGAAAGCCAATATTATTGTAGCATAGCTGACTAAAGTGCATGAGCTCACTGATCAAAACATCCATGGTTTTTAGACAAAAGCATCATTCCATCAATGGACTATTAGACCAAAAAGACAAGGGAGAGAGAGAGGGGGGATTTAATATTAATGTTATCCTCAATATATACGACCATAAGAAAACTGATCAGACGTGCCTTTTTTGTGCTTTACATTTAGCGTTTTCCCAATAATTGGCATGTGGGTAATGTGTGTTGCCTAGTTGAAACCTTTACTCACCAAACATTCTCCATAGAGTGACAAGGAACCCAAGCACTAAGATACTGAGAGAAACACCTAGATGAATTAATCCAAGCCCATAGATTTGAGGACTTGCCCTAATATCATCATCTAAAAGATCAGTTACACCACTCAGAAGAAAAAAGAAATAACACAACTCTTCTAGTATTATTCGAGTCTAAAGTAAGAGATGTCAATCATGTCATATCATATCAGTTTCACGTATTGTAAAAAATAATCACTTCAAAAATGAAAAAATCCAAATGTGACACTACAACGAATATTGTAACAACCAACGAGTAGTATGTACTATTTATTAGAGAAATAATAGGATCAGAAACAATTTATCAATCATATTTTTACTTGAATAATGATGAATTATTTTCGATCCAATTATATCTCTAATATTGGGCCAGTTTGAAACTAGCTTTTTTGAGTGCGAAACAGAAGTTTGAAAAATGAAATAAAAAAATTAGAATTAAAAAAGTTCTTAAAACTATTTGGAGTGTTTTTGAAAAAGTTGCTTTTCCTTGGAAGTTCTTGAATAATACTATTTTTTTCAGTCTTGCCTTAGTGCCAATAAAAAACTATTTTTGCCCAAAAGCTAATGTAAAAGCCCGCCGAGTCCAAACCAACCAGATTTATTTTCTTCTAAAACCAAAAAAAAAATTTAAATTTTCAGTTAACTCCAAAGAGACTCATTATTTAACAACATACATATAATGGTGTGACTGTCTGAGCACTCCTACTCAAAAGTTCCCTTGACAATCAGTTCAATGTTCAACTAACTATCAAAGTTTGGACTGTTATAACTCGTACTGTCAACCACCATTCTTCTTCTTTTGCTTTTTCTACCACCCATTCTGCAAGAAGGGAGGGGGGGGGGGGGTTTAAGGCTCTTTTCCTCACCTATTAATAGTAGTAAATTCACACAGTTATGCCTCAGGTGCACTTCTCATAGATTCAACAGAGAATATTAGTTAGTTACAAAGTTATCTTTAGATTTTCAAGCAGATGGCTGACTTGGATCACTCCACTTCTAATGATTCTTCTGTGGACTCTACAGGTACCCTTTGAAATTAGTGCCAGTGTTCCTACAGCATTTGCATGTAATCCTTATTTTAGTAAAGATTCTCTTTCCAAAAATGGGTTTTCTTATTTTTGGTTGTTGGGAAAATATTCAAATGTAATAAAATGTATCTTTTGCTCGTAATGCATGTACTTGTACATCTCATTTTGGGTTGCTTTATTATAATCTAAGCATAAAAGGTTTGGGTCTCATTAACAACCTATCAATATCTGAGATTAAGGTTGCATTCATCTAATCCTGCTCGGAACTCTGTTGCAGGAGTCTCGAGCAATGGATTGCTTTTTTGCTTGTATTTATGATTATATATGTGTGCATATAGAACACAGGCATTGAAATTAATGATTTTTTTCATGGGGAGGTTACAGCAGAGGACAACAGTCATGACTCAAAGCTTGAATTTTCTTCAGATGAGGAAATCCTCATTGTTAGGATGTATAATCTGGTTGGAGAGAGGTAGATTTGCTTATCTTTCCAGTGAATTCACTATTCTAATGGTTTTAATTTTTTTTTTTTTTTTTTTGAATTTTGAAAGAGCTAGTAAGAAAATGTTGTGGTCCTTTTAGGTGGCCTCTTATTGCTGGGAGAATTCCTGGAAGATCTGCAGAAGAAATTGAGAAGTATTGGAATTCAAGATATTCTACCAGTGAATGAAATGCAGGAAAATCCAAGAAAGAAAATTTTTA